TCGGGCTCGGCACGGGCCGCGCCACGGATCGGCAGGGCTCTGGCCGCGGGGACACCGTTGCCGCCCCCTCCGCTACCTCGGGGGTCTCCTCCTCCTCCTCCTCCTCCTCCTCCTCCTCCTCCTCCTCCTCCTCCTCCTCTCCATCCATTGTCCTTCTAGGTAACCTCTCCCTGCCGCACCCCCTGACATGTCTCTAGGGCGGGCAGGGGGTTTCGCCTGAGACTTCCTCAACATTTACGATCCTGAAGCTTGAGACTTGCAACAGTTTTAAGGATGGAGGGTGGGTGGTTTCAAAATGTGGCCCTCGCTCTAGCGCCGCGCAGATTCGTCTTGAAAGCTTGCAGCAGTTTCAAGGATGGAGGGCGGGTGGTTCTCAAGACGTGGCTCTCGTAAAGGCGCTGCGCGAATTCGTCATATTTTCCAGCGGCAGTTTCTACATGGAGGGCGGGTGGCTTTCAATATCTGGTTCTTGCCTTAGCGCCGCACGCATTCGTCGTAAAAGCTTGCAACAGTTGCAAGGATGCAGGGCGATCATTTTTCAAAATGTGGCTCTCGCCTTGGCGCCGCGCACATTCGTATTAAACGTTTGCAGCAGTTCATGGGGTTCGTATGGTTGAAGTCCCAAGAGCGGCGTTCTGGCACGATGCCAACTGGTTAAGGCCCTGCAATCGCGTTGACTCGCGGTGTTGGAATCCCAGAACCGGCTTCCTGGCACGGTTTAGGATTGACAAGACGCAACAGTCGCGTTGATTCGCGGAGTTGCTTGACATTCCAGAAATGGTGCTTTGACACGACTGAGGAATCTCAAACGGTTGTCATTCAATGGAGCACTTCCCGCAATGACATAAATTCTTGCAAGGACCTATCAAGAGGAGCTTGGAGGGAAGGCTTATTGCACCATCCTTGATGCGTCGTAGTTTTGCACTGGTCCTCCTCCAGTGCCTCCCACTACCTCTTCTTCCTCCTCGTTCTCCTCCTCCTCCTCCTCCTCCTCCTCCTCCTCCTCCTCCACCCCTCCTCCCGCTCCTCCTCCTCCTCCTCCTCCTCCTCCTCCTCCTCCTCCTCCTCCTCCTCCTCCTCCTCTTCCTCCCCCTCCTCCTCCTCCTCCTCCTCCTCTTCCTCCTCCTCTTCCTCTTCCCCCTCCTCCTCCTCCTCCTCCTCGTCGGCCGCCTTCCCCTGCTTCTCCTCCTGACGCCGGTCCTGCGAGCTGTGTCTGGATGATCCGCGACATCTTCCCCTCTGCTAGGCCATCGCCAGGCGGAGGGACGCACGCATGCTCACACCGAACGCGTGGGCGGAGGTGAGCCGCGACAAAACGGTTAGCCGCAGCCTCGGGCTGCAGCGGCCGCGGCCGGGGTACGAACGCGGAGCCCCCCCCCCCTCGGGAAGGGGGGGAAGGGAGCCCCGCCCGAGGGCGCTCCTCCACTCCTGGGGGGACGGGGCTCGCCTCCTCTGCACTTCTCGAGGGTCGCGAGGCGGGCGTGGTGGCATGCGGCGTGCAGTAGGCGCCTGGCCGCGGCGGTGTCCGCCCCCTCCCATCCTGCGATCTCTCCCAGCCCGGGCGGTGACGCCGCCCGCCCTGCGGCGGCGCTCCGCGGGGCCCGGGGGCCGCGGCGGCCTGGCTGTCCGGGCTGCGCTGCGCGAGCTCGTGCGCCCGGCGGTTGGGCGCACCTGGCTCGCCTCCGTGTTGGCCGGGGGCGAAGGCGGCGGCTGGCTATCGTCGCTGCCGTGGCGGGAGAGGTGGTGGAAGAGAGGAGGCGTCGCTTCTGCTGTCTGCCGGCGGGCGCCGTCGACCCGCCCTCCCCCTGGCCGTCCCCTCTCGCGGAGAAGTTTGTGGATTCAGGCGGCCCCAGCCTCTGGCCGTTGCTTGGATCTGTGGCGGCTCATCGCGCGTGTGAGAGGCATCGGAATGGTCGTTCATTCCTTTAATGGCGGACTGGCGCTCCTGGTGGGCCTCGTCCACGTCAGCGCCGTGGTAATGATGTCGACACCCGCTGGTATCCCCAGCACTGGCCAGCACGAGTGCCCCGCTCTCGCACGTGTGATCGGAGATCTGCCCGGCGGTGCGGCTCTCGTGGAGGGCTTGCCCGGCCGCATCGACCTTGAGCTGCTCGGCGTCGAAAGCACTTGCGGCTCGCCGCTTGGCTCGCCCATGCTCGGCGGTCGCCGCGATGGCACCCGTGCATCTGGGCCTCCTAGGTGGGGTCCGAGCAGATGGGGTCAGAGGATCGCGCTGCATCGCCGTTTTATCGGCGATGCGGCTCGATGCAGGGCCCGCTTTTCTCCACGCCGCCGGCGCACATGCATCGCTGACGTCGCCGATGCGGCGCGATCCTCCAACCCCATCTACTCGGACCCCACGTAGGAGGCCTCGAATGTAGGTCTGCTGCAAGCTGGCGAACTGGTCCGTGCCAGGGTTGGCGGGCGAATCCAGCGCAATGTCCGAATTCGCGCGGGTGCCTCTGGTTCGCAAAGTGACGTGGGAAGTCCGGTTCCACATGTGCTGCCGTGGATCGGCGGCATGCCCGGGGGGAAATGAGAAGGGGCGGGCCTTCTCAGAAGGCTCGGAAATCCCCCGGCCTTATGAACAATTTTCTAAGCTTCTAGGCTTATCACGAAGACACGGAACACTTCTCACAAGGCGCGAGGGCATTCGAGAAGTCCTGCCGCTTTCTGAGGTCTTTCCCTTCTCGCTTCCCCACCCCGCTCGCCGCCGAGTGGGGGTGGGCAGCCTCCTTCTGACGCGCCCTGCGGGTCGCGAAACGAAATGTGGCGGGGCGGAGCTGTTGAGCACCGTGGCGGCGATGATGTGGTTCGATCAATGAGAGTGTGCAGTGGGTGGCCGCGGCGCAGAATGACGAACTCGGGTTCTCGATGGAAATCGCGCAGCCGTCGTACACGTCGTGCGGCCAGTATGGCCACTCCCAGAATAACCAAGCCCGGAGGAGAAGGACAATATGATGATGATGATGATGATGATGATGATGATGATGATGATGATGATGATGATGATGGTGATGGTGATGGTGATGGTGATGGTGGTGAGGAGGGGGAGGAAGAGGAGGAGGAGGAGGAGGAGGAGGAAGAGGAGGAGGAGGAGGAGGAGGCGGAACTGGAAGAGGGGGGGCAGGTGGAGGATCGTCAGTGAGTGAATTGCGGGGTACTCTGAGGCGGGAGCCTTTCCCTATGGAGGCCGCAACTCTCTCTCTCTCTCTCTCTATTTATAATAACTTTCCGGTCTAACGAATCCCAGAAAGGGGCATCCTCAAACCTGAAACTGTCGTCACGCTCGGGCTCCCCAGGCCTGAAAATGGGGGACGTCTCGAGCGGGAGCCCCGTCCGTGAATGAATCGCGAGGAAGTCCTGAACGGGAACCCGTCCATATGGGGTCCCCACCTCCATGCTCGAATCCGAACCGTCGTCATTTTTGAGCTCCTCGGGCCTGAAGATGGAGGAAGTCTCGCGCGGGCGCACCCCCCCTTCGGGGTCCCCGCTTCCATGTTCGAGCCCGAGCGGGTCATCCTCAAACCTGTGACTGTCGTCACTCTTGGGCTCCCCACGCCTGAGTATGGAGGATGTCTCGCCTTGCTCCCGCGCCCCAACGGCCCACGGGGTTGTCCTAACGGCCTGGCCAGCGGGGTTGCCCCAACGGCTTCGCGGTCCGGCGACCGGGGAACGCGCGCATGCAGGCCGTGGCGGCGAGGGCGCCAAAGAGAAAATCGACATGTGTGCCCCGGCCAGAAGGACAGATATGTGCATGAGGAAAACAGGCGGGATGGAAAGGGGGAAGGAGGAGGTGGAGAAGGAGGAGGAATCGGGGACGAGGAGGATGAGAAGGAGGAGGAGGACCAGTGTAAACCCAAGAGCCATCAACGATGTTGGAAGACACCCTCCCTCCAAACTCCCTCGTCATAGGACCCTGCAGCGGTCATTTTCATTGAGAGAACTGCCTCGTTGGAAGACAACCGTTTGAGGACCCTCAAGCATTCTAAAACATTGTTCTCGGGATTCCAACGCCACGGATCAACCTGATTGTTGAGTCATGGCGACCCTGGATCGTGACAGAGAACCGTTCTTGGGATTCCAACATCGCGAATCAACGTAACCGTCACGCCCGCAAAATCCTGAATCCTTCATCATGGGAGTCCGTGAATCTCTTGCAAATGTTATAAATGAAAATGCGCGGCGCTAAAGCGAGAACCGCATTTTGAAAAGGAGCCGCCCTCAATCCGTGAAGCTCCTGCAAATTTAGAAACGAATGTGCGCGGCGCTAAAGCGAGAAACGCATGTTGAAAACGGGTCGTCCTCAATCCGTGAAGCTCTTGCACACTTTTGCAACGAATGTGCGCGGCGCTAAGGCGAGAGCTACATGTTGAAAACGGGTCGCCCTCAATCCGTGGAGCTCTTGCAAAAGCTTAGAACGAATGTGCGCGGCGCTAAGGCGAGAGCCACGTATTGAAAATAACCTGCCCTCCATCTGTAAGACTGTTGCCAATTTTTCAGCTTCCGAGTCGTACATGGTGAGGAAGTCTCAAGCGAAATGCCCGGCCCGCCCTGAAAACTGGCTTCGGGGTGTGGCAGGGAAACAGTATCTATAAGAAAAAGGAATGGAAGAGGTAAGAGGAGGGGGAGGAGCAGGAGGAGGATGAGGAGGAGGAGGAGGAGGAGGAGGAGGAGGAGGAGGAGGAGGAGGAGGAGGCAGTAGGAGGAGGGAGAGAAGGAGAAGGCAGGAGGTGGGTAGGAGGAGGGAGCAGGAGGAGATCCCCGGCCAGGCTGAAAGTACTGGGCGATTTTTTTCCCACGGGGCTCCCTCTCAGTGTATGCGGCCGCTCGGGGCCTGGCTACAATGAAGGGGCCCTGGGACACACAAATAAATACACACAAATAAAAGTATTCCCCTATATGTTCCTATATTTTCCAGGTCTTTGTCTTCCCCCCCACTTCCCATATTTTCACATAAATTCCTGGGAATCGACGAATCATTGTGTCTGTGTGTTTCTTTTCCTCCTGATGCAACTGGACCTGGGCTACACTCTCCGCCTGGCGCTCCAACGCGGCATCCCCCCTGGGCTCTACATCTCCGCCGGCTTGGCGGTGGTGCTGGCCTCGGCCTCTGTGCCTCTCGCCGAGGCTGGCCGCTGTGGGCCGCGACGCCCTGGTCGGCGCCCTCGGCTGCCGTCCTGCGCGCGGTGGCTTTGCGTATGGTAAAACGACGCGAAGATCGGGACAAAATCGGATCGGGATAACTCGAAATCTCTGAGAATCGGCGGGTTTGGAGGATGTATTGGGCGCCGCGGCCGCTCCAGAGCGTTCCGGAACGCTCTGAGAGCGCTCCGGAACGCTCTGGAGCGATTTATCCCGATCCTAGCCCTGTTTTATACGGATGTCTGGGAGGCTTCCTGCAACGTGTTGCAGGACGGGTGCGCCGACGCCGGACGCTCATGTAGGTGGCGTAGGGGCCGGCTGCTGTTGATGACCGTGGTCTGGAGGTTGCAGCGTAGCTTCCCCTTCGATGTGGTGGGCGGCGCTAAAGGAAGCGGGCAACATGGGCGGCAGCAGGCAGGACTCGCCCTGCATCTCCCGCTGCATGGCGCGGAGCTCCTCCAGAAGCTCCTCCTTGATGGCGGCTAATATCTAGCACGCCATGGAGGGGGCGACGGCGGCGGTATCTGGGTTGAGCTGCCCGTCGAAGCTGTAGCTCTCATTGTTGCCAACACAGATGGTCTGCGCGTGGCCGTATTCGCTGTAGCCGCGCCAGTCGTAATTATGCGCGTGGCCGTGGTAGTTCCTCGTGTAATGGCCGCAATAGTCGTTATGTCCGAGGCCGTAGTAGCTGTAGCTCTTGCGGTTCCCGTAGTAGCTCTGCGAATTCCAGTCGTACCTGGACTCTGGTGGTCCTGATTTTGCCGCTGCCGGTTGTAGCTGTAGTTTTTGTGCTCTCGCTTCGGGTCTGCTGGTCCCCGTCGTCTTGTCTACGATGCAACTTCCGCTCGGTACGCAGCTCCCTCCTCATTGTGATGCTGCTGGATGTCGCTGGCGCAGCTGCTCAGGGGATGAGAAAGCTGCATGCGCTCCTGGTGCCCTCGGTCGGTGGTCGACCATGTGGTCGCACTCGCTGTCCTTCTCCTGCGAAGTTCAAGGGGCCCGAAGACACACAAATAGATACACACAAATAAAAGGATGCCCCATATATTTTCCCATATTTTCTGGGTTTCTGTCTTCCCCCCCAAGTCCCATATCTTCCCATATTTTCTTGGGGGTCGACGATTGATTGTGTCTGTGTGTTTTTTCCCCCTCTGGAGAAGTGTCTCGCGCGATCCCGCGGCAGCTCGCAGGGCCGCGTGGCCCAGGCCGTGGTCCCTCTGCTGCCCGGTGCGTGCGCCGGTGCGCCGCCGCGGGCCAAGGTGCCGCTCGTGGCGCGAAATGCCGGCGGGCGCCGCGCCTGGCCATGGGCCCTCCTGCGAGTCGCCCCCGCCCCCGCCCCCTTCTGATGGGAGGGCCCTCCAGCCCGCGAGGGGCAGCGGCTTGGAGCCAGGACGGCAAGGGAGGGGCTCCCCCTTCTCCCCCTTTTCCTCCTCCCTTTCTCCCCTACACCTTCCCTCCTCCTGCTCCTCCTCCTCTTCCTCCTCCTCCTCCTCCTCCTCCCCCTCCTCCGCCTCCTCCTCCTCCTCCCCCCCTGCCCCCCTCTGATGGGAGGGCCCCTCCCCCCCCCCCAGCCCGCGAGGGGCAGCGGCCTGGAGCCAGGATGGCCATGGAGGCTCCCCCTTCTCCTCCTGTTCCTCCGCCCTTTCTCCCCTACACCTTCCTCCTCCTCCTCTCCTCCTCCTCCTCCTCCTCCTCCTCCTCCTCCTGCTCCTCCTCCTCCTCCTCTTCCTCCTCCTCCTCCTCCTGCTCCTCCTCCTCCTCCTCCTCCTCCTCCGCCTCCTCCTCCTCCTCCTCCTCCTCACCCGTCCTCGCCGTGGCCGTCACCGCTGCACCCGCCACCGTCTTCGTCGTCGAGGTCGTCGAGGTCGTCGTCGTCGTCGTCGTCGTCGTCGTCGTCGTCGTCGTCGTCAACGTGGTGGTGGTGGTGGTCGTCGTCGTCGTTGTCGTCGTCGTCGCGGTGGTCATCGTGGTGGCTGTCGCCGTCGCAGTCGCCGTTGCCGCCGCTGCTACCACCGCAGCCGCTGCAGTCGCCACCTCCGCCGCTGTCGCAGTCGTCGCAGTTGCCGTTGCCGTCCTAGTCCTCGTCCTCGACCTCGTCGTCGTCGTCGTCGTCGATGTCGTCGTCGCCGTCGTCGTCGTCGTCGTCGTCGTCGTCGTCGTCGTCGTCGTAATCGTCGTCGTCGTTGTCATCGTTGTCGTCGTCGTCGTCGACGTCGCCGTCGCCGTCGCCGTCGCCGTCGCCGTCGCCGTCGCCGTCGTCGTCGTCGTCGTCGTCGTCGTCGTCGTCGTCGTCGTCGTCGTCGTCGTCGTCGTCGTCGTCGTTGTCGTTGTCGTTGTCGTCGTCGTCGTCGTCGT